TTGGCAGGGGTGTTGGTTGGACTGGATGATCTCCTGACGTCCTTTCCAACCTCTAGGATTCTGTGATTAGGCAGCAGACAATATTAGTAACAGTTAATTTTATCTAGCATGTCTCCTTTCTGTGGACATTTTTTTTTTTTAACTAAACTTCAGATTTTTAAAAATACTGTATAAAGCCCTTCTCTAGCTGTTGTACTGGTAAAGGGAACAGTATAGGCACAAATACTGATCCTGTTCCATTCCAACTCACGCCTTAAATCAGCATTGAACAAACTGCTTAGGAACACACTCCATGCTATTCCCTTTTTATTCTTAGCTGTGGGTTAAAATTTTCAGCATTTTCTGGGACTTCAGTTGGGACACCCATTTTTACAGGCAAGATTCAAGTAGAAACAATTTGGGATGACACACTGCTTTCAGTATAGTAAAGCACCCAGACTTAGTCCAGAGAGTGTGACTCGTTCAAACAACTTTCATATCTTCAATTTGCATTAAATTAAACTTTTTTAAGACATCCCCCCCACCATCATTTGCAGTTCCATACATTGATCTGAAACCATATGACTCAAGGAAAAATCTATTGCTATATCAGACCACTAAAACCAAAGGAATTCAGAGTATTAAAAGCCAAGGCATGCCTTCTGCCTTCTTAACTGTGTGCCATCCCCAGATAAAGCCAGTGCTACAAGCAATTATCAGCAAACTATGGAACAAAACTCTTTGAGCACATTTCTCTACTCCCAAAGCACAAATGTTTATGCTTAAAGAGGGAGCAGAGATCCAGAATAACTTTAATCCTGGTTCTAACGACAGATCCACTGCAGCAGCATCTCCCCACCAGCACAGGCGGGAGCACCAAGCCCCCCGTGCTGTCCTCGAGCCGGGGGCTCCGTGCCCACACACCAGCTGGGCACCAGCTTTGCTCCCAGCACTGGGAGAGTACACACATGTCATGTATGCAGAGCTGGTGGGAGCTGCAGCTTCACTTTGGGTTACCTTCTGATTTCACAAAAGCTGAGATGTGTTTTACCTGCTGGATGCAGCCCCAGGAGCACAGCCACCTCTTGCTTACTCAGCCCTTCTGCTCCTTTCCCTCCCCACACCGTTTTCTGATGGCCCTCCAGGTCGGGAGCTCCTCAGTGTGCTTCAACCCTGCTTTTATTGACCTTTCCTCAGGGTTTCCTCACCAGTTTTTGGCAGTCTATGGACAGGACACCCCCCTCCCTGTCAAACAGCGACCCCATGGCTCCAAGGACAGACTCACAGGCAATAGTGCCTTCTGTTACCTTTTTGTTCCCAGTGCCTGAGCAAAGCACAGGGCAGGTCTCGGGTCAGCTTCAGCGGGTGCCCAGAGCTCGTGCTGCTGCCCATAGACTCCACATGGAAGAACATTAACAGCAGTGGCTGCTGAAACCACAGCCCCTCGTCTGAGCCTTTTTGAGATACAGGATGAGATTGGCCTCCTACAGCACATGTTTGCCCAGTACTCCCCCCAGGCTCCCTCTCCTCTGTGATTTATTGATGAGACAAACTAGGAGGAAGCCAGAGAACAGAGATTTGCTATCGACCTCGCTGTGGGACAGAGAAGGAATTTCATGCAGGTTAGAATTAAACCCCACCATCCACAACATGCTCCAAAAGAGGATGCCCACGGACAGCCCTGTGGCAACCACCGTCCCCATCGCTCTGTGCTGCTAACATACACCAGCTATGCCGGGGAGCAGCAGGGAGTGGTGCACAGTGGTCAGGGAGAAGTGAGGGTCTTTGGGGGGACAGCCTGCACGACCACACCAACAAGGTCAGCTCCTACCTGTGTTCGCCCTCAGCCACAGCAACTGGGCAATGGTTCGGCAACAAGGTCACTGCGGCATTTTTTGCCATCCTCTCTCCATGGCCGTGCTGGCTCTGCGCAGGAGCAGGGTGTCTGCACTGTCCCTCTCCCCCAGCTGCTGAGATGCAGAGGGGAGACAACATCTTCCTTGTATTCATTGCATTCCCTCCTCCATGATGGCAGGGTCACCGTATCAGACTTGGCTGTCACACAGAGAACATGCACAGGGATGCTTGGAGCACAGAAGGGAACAAAACACCCACAACTCGACGTAAACCGGAGCAGGTCCCCAACTGGAGGTGTGCTGCAGGGATGCTGGTATCAGAGTTGCAATACAGACCTTCAGGCTGGAGCACAAACACCCTGGACCACAGCAAGGACTACTGATGGACACACCAACGTCTGTTCCAACAAGCACTAAGCTTATTTTTTTGTTTTTTTAAGACTCACCTGTCCCTAACTGTAGCAGCCAAACAACAAACACAGGTGAAACAGGCATAGATATGTATTGTTTTCTTTTTAAAAAGCAAACCATTAAAAGCACGGGAGGTGATGGGAGCTCATTCTAGGTTGCATTTGATGAACAGAGAGGAGGGAGATGACAGCTGCCTGCCCTACCATGTGCCAGCTCTGGACTGGCACCGCTCTGACCTCCAGTTTCAGAGTGGCCACAAGCGAAGGCAAAGATTCCCACAGCACCCAGCCCCGAGTCCCTGCCCCAAACACCACCTGTATTTTGCTCAAGACAATTCTTCTGCTTCCAGTGAAAAGGGAGTTTGCTCTGAGCCAAGGCAGGTGGAGAGCAGGTTGGTTTGCTCCTCTCCCAAGCAGCTGACAGGGACCCTGGGGACATCCGTGGCTGTGGGAAGGCTCTGCAACTCAGGGTGCATTGAGGGGCAGTGGGCCACAGGCCCAGGCCACCACGGGGGCCAAAGGCTACTGCCCAGCAATTCTGCAGGTGACCCAGGGAGCAGGACATTGGCAGAGCCTGGGGCCCTTCCCCACCTGCTGTTTGATCACAGCTGCTCTGATGGGGCAGCAGAGCCGACCCATCCATAACAACCCAAAGCGTTCTGGCACAGATAAGCACTGCTGAAGACAACAGATCCTTTCTTCTCCAAAACAAAGACGTGGAAAGACAAAGTCATGGGCCAGGCTCAGGTCTCTTCCTGGAGCGAAATATCCTCCTTTTGATTTCTTGAAGTGGCTGTAAGCAAGATACAGGTTTTTTATCCAGTCTCAATGCTGATAAACAGAGTAATATAAAAATAACAATAATTTGTGGCCCACTTCTGCAAAGAACCAAGGCCCAGAACCCGGTGCAGAGGATTTGACACATCTGTCCCCCAGCACATTGTGTACCTTCTGATGGGAACCATGCGCAGCCAGACCAACACACTTGGTTCACTCTCCTGACTGATCTCCATCAGCAGGTCTCCAGTTTCTCAAAAATTATTCCTGGTTCATCTGCAGTGAGTAACAAGGGGGTAAATGCCAACACATTTGCTTTCCTTGTGCCATAAACATAACTGATGGAACTCAACACAAAGCTGAATTCTGCTAACAAGCATCACCCCAGTCTACGTGGCACAATTAAATAGAATTTTATTCTCAATAAATATACAATCTGCATCATACCAGACAATATGCTGTGAAAAAATAAAATGTACAGAAGCAACCGACAGGACAGCTTGACCGTAGCTAAGTTCACTTGGTGGCCTGGAAAACCACCTGGGTTAACACACACAACACAGAAAGAGCCACTGCAGTCTGAGAGAGAATTAAAATTGTGTATTTTGGGTCTTCTTAACTGCAAAAGTCCTGCAGCAGGTTTCTTTTGCACAACACAGGTTTGAAAAGAGATGAGCTGGCTTTCCCAGTACAAATGCTATTGGAAACGTTTGCTTTGCTATATCATCACTGTATCTACTTGACGCACACAGACTGCTATCGAGAGTGGCAGGTCTCACCGCTGACGTGACATCGGATTCGTTTGACACGGGGCTGCACGGCCACAGGCACGCGCGTGCCCCGGCACACAAATGCACGCATACGTACTAACAGGAGCTTAATTCTGTTAAAACTAGTACAAGGACAAAACTGGAGTCAGAATCGATTTCACCACAGGTTCTACCATTTAAAAAAATATTCTAGCCTAATTACCACATTCACCAATGAGAGCACACGGGTACTTATATCTCCGAGAGGATGAGCCATGGATTTGGACTGGAAGGACAGTAGAGGCCAATCCCAGCTCTTCCACCTGCTCAGCGCTTCCTGCGCACCTCCACACCCAGCCCACGCCGCCCGGCCACGCGCTCCACCGCGCGGGATGCCAAACAGCCGAGCGGAGCCAGGTGCGAGCAGCGAGAGGGCCGGCCGGCCAGGCCGCTGGTGGCCCCAGGGGAACAGCCAGGACCTGGTGGACATGGTTCACAGAGGCCAGCGTGGCCGGTTGGGTGCCAGCAGCTGCTTCAATCCAATGGAGCTGCTGTGGAGTGCGTGTAGGGTGTGAGGTGGGGTGTTTCAGTCAGTGGTTTATTTTTTTTTCCTTGTCCACCTGCTTGGTCTGGCTGCTGTTAGTCCCCCACCTCATGTTACCTCCAGGGATGCTGGAGAGACGCGGTCGCACTCCTCCCGGGACCGCAGGCTGTGCCACTGCTCCACGGCCGTCCGGTGCGCGTTGAGCATCCGGCGCCAGTGGTTGGACTCGGGGGCTCCTGTCGAGTACTGCCCGATCACGATCCTCCCAATGAAGTCGTTGCTGCTTTTCACATTGTGCCCGTACACTGGGGAGAGCAGAAACAGAGACTGGTCAAGGCCAAAGCATAGCTTGTCCACCTGGATCTTTGACCCAGGAAAGCCAAACGTCCCGGCAATGCCCCCTCGTGCAGCACGCCAGTCACCAGCCTTTCTGGCATGTAACTCAGCACCTCAGAAATGTGAGAGACCACATCAGGAGTTTGGAAAGAATAAGATAAGCTGCATGACAGACTGAAATACAATTCAAACAAACAGGATGCACATCCACAGTTATCATGGTATTTAGCAAGAAGAGATGAGAAGAATCATAGAATAGTTTGGGTTGGAAGGGACCTTAAAAATCACCCAGTTCCAACCCCCCTGCCATGAGCAGGGACACCTTCCACTAGACCAGGTTGCTCAAAGCCCCATCCAACCTGGCCTTGAAGTAGAATTACATCATGTAAAGAAATGCTGAAAGCAGCATCTCAAAACCATCCTCCAAACGTAAGTGTCATGAACCATTCCAGTGCTTGTCAACAGCCTTCCTGACCCAGAGATGGGAATCACACACCTACAGGCTCAGCAGAATGTTTATACTGAAACCATTTTCCTCAATTATTGCTGCAGCTACTTGTGAAAAGTCCAGGAAAGCAACTGAGGGAGAGACATCAACCCAACACCCTGTCCATTGGATTAGCCCAGTCTCCTGGAACAAAGGACCACAGACAGCAGCAAAATCTAATGATGGACCTGATCCTGGGAAAGGCTGCATGTTCCCAACAGAGAGGAGGAAAACCACTTTGTGTTCTGCAAATTGAACCCCTGCTTCAGCTCATTAGAAAGCTGAACAAAACGTCTGTGCAAGCTGAAGCCAGGATATCCATGGGGACTGGCTGGATTAAAAAAATCTCCTCAGGAAAGAGAGGGATTTTTAAGAACAAATGTCTGCAGGGGCTCCAAATCCACCCAGGCTGGTGCAGCAAGAGCAGGTTCAAAGGGAGAGCTGGTTTCCAGTTCTCCAGGGCTGCTGGAAACCAGCACTGTCAGCAAAGCCACATCTGGGATCCTGGTGGCAGCAGCCCCCGATGCAGCGCACACCCTTCCAGGCAGGCAGGACACCAAGCACTAAGCGCTTGACCTTGCTTTTAATCACATGTCTTTGTCAAGGTTGTGTATTTCCTATTATAATATATCCCATGATTAATTAGTATTATTTTAACATGCTACTCAGTATCTCTACCATCTCCACACCCTGCACAGGCTGGTTCCTAGCTGCTGCACCAGTACGGGATCTTGCTCTGGGTGACTCAGGTGCCACTTGCCAGCACAGTCCCAAAATAAAGCTGCACAAGGTTACAACTCGCTTTTACCTTCTGACAGCTCTGACAGTTTATGGGCAGAGATGCTTCTCCACAACAAATTACCTGGGGATATTTTTGGTAACAGCAAACCTTCAAATGTTCCAATCATTTCTCCAAATAATTGCACTAAAAAAAAAAAAAATTACACGGCGACTCAGAACAGAGCGCTGTAAGTCCACCTTCAAACTACAGTTAAAAATGAATTGGGGGTACATCTTCCCCTTAGGAAGGTCACATCTCTCCCACTTGTCACCATCGGTTATCGAGGGGTGATGCCATCAGCATTCTGCAACGTGCTGCCGAGGAAGTGCCCCTGTCAAGACACCGCGCTGGTGTTATTTGGGAAGGCCACCGTTCGAGGAGGCAGTGAAGAATTTTAAGCCATCCATCTCCCAGCCAGTACACAGCCTGCCAGAGTTATTAACGTGCTCTCCTACAAGGCAATGGATCACAAGCGTAGCTAGCCTGGCCATGCTACATGTCCTGCTATGATTTATTATCCTAGAGAAAACAAATATTGTGATAAAATCACATAAAAGTACCCCCAAACCAAATGCCTCTCCAATTTTTTATAAAGGATTTTTTTTTTCCCTTTTTTTTTTTTTCAAGAACAGAAGAAGATGAAGCCTAATCTTGGGAGACAATATCAAGTAATTTAAGCCAAGAAGTCTTAAAGGCCATTAATTAATCACAGGATAAATTAACAGTGGGGAAGTAAACCCAGGCATACCAATTCCTCAAAAATAACCCATGTCATGACTGTAAAATGAGTAGGGGTGCTAACTAAGGGGACCTGTTATTTTACTGTTTATCTCAGTATTTTGAATTCTTATAAAGCAACTTGCTAATCTCATTGTGTTGGGTAATTAGCATGTTGATTCCTTTAGGGTATTAATAGACTAATTATACAAGCATTGTTGCTTCTATTGTTAACTAGTTTAGATAGCACAGGGGTAGATTTACTGCTGAAGAACAGAAAAGACATTTTCCAAGGCCAAATGCTTATTCACACACAGACGATAAGAGGTGGCAGTAGATTCGACCTCAGGTTTACAAACTCACAGCTGCACCAGAGCAGCTTCCTCAAAAGATGAAAGGTCTTTGTGTGCCAAAAATTCAGCTTCACTCATCAGTTCACAAGCCTTTAAAACTCAAGGACATGCCTTTCTCAGAGGCTAATTGCTTTATTCCACTCTTAAAATGTCCAGTATTTGTTGAGCAAATTTGCTGATGGTTGAGGTGCAGCAAGTTCTTGTGTGGACCTTACCCAGGAGAAGGTGCTAAAGATTAGTGTTGTGAACAAAAGCCCTTTTCTTTGCTCACATTCAGGAGCACAATTTTCCCTGTTGCTGTCACTGGTTCTTCCAAGAACAGCTTGGAAAGGAAAACTGTAGGAGCCCATAAGCCCAGGTGAGCAACTGAAAGCAAAGGCTGCTTGTGCTGCTGGCACTCCCTGCACCAGGCTGGAGCCGTTCTGCACTGTGAGCTCCTGTCCCGGTGCTGGAAGGGCCACAGCTCTCCCCACTGTTCCTTCCTCTGCTGCAGCAACCACTTCTCAAACAGACCAGGAACCGTTTCCTTGAATGCCAACAGCATGCAGTAGCCATGACGCTCATTACTCCTTTGAAGCTCATGCCTGACACTTCTGCCCCATCCCAAGGCCAGCAGCAGATGGCCCAATCACACCCTCGGTACAGACCCTGCACATATCACTCATGTACCAACCAGGAATGTATCGGCCAGGACTCCCAGATACGGGAGACCCTCCCAGATTGTCTCAGACACGATCCCAAAATGACAACTTTTCAAGATACAAGGAGAGCTGCACACCATTCCAGGGCTGGCCCCTGCCCCGGCTGGACAGGGACCTGCCAATGCAGCCGGCATCTGCAGGGGAACCCAGGAGCTCCTGCCAGCATGGAACCCTTGCAAAGCCATGGAGGAGCCACCAGCCTGGGGATGGGCAGGCTCTGCAGAACCCCTCTGCTCTTTGCACACACATGCAATGTGCCACCCACGTACCACAGCTATAGTCCTACCTACAGCACAGCCAACTCCACACAAGCTCACGCCTTCCACCTCAGGAGGAAAAAACCTGCTCTTTGCTTTCAGCTTCTTCCTCCGCAGGCAGAGGTGGGGAAGACCCTGTGGTCCAGCCCCTGGACAGCAGTTGGGTGCTGCACCACACCCTGAGCCCAGGTTACAGTACAAGTGGACTGAGCTGCATTACCCAATGTCTGAGCATGCCCTTCCAGAGTCTGAAAGCAGCTCACAGTAAATTTCAGATTAAATCTGCTCTTAGCCACAAAAACCAGTAACTCCGTGGAGCTGCTCAGAAGCAGAAAATTGAGTAATTATCATTTGGAGTTTTCAGACTGACCTAGACTCTGGTTACATTCAGGTAGACACTGATTTCCGTTTAAGAAACCTATTTTCCTGACAGAATCTACACACCTGATCTTACGATCTCTTTTCCACCATTGCAGTCATTTGCACAATAGCAACATCCATTTCCAGGCCAACACTGAGCAAAAAGCAATTAAGAAAGCAGAGGTCAAACCAATTCCTTCTGCAGCTGCTCTTTACTGAGGGTTGCATTTGGAAACAGAAAGGCTTCTTTAAAAAAACTCTCTAATAGAAATGCAGAAATACAAAGAAAATTGGGTTCACTCATGTCCATTAAATGGGTTGAATTCTTGAGGACAAGTGATGTGATGTAAATAAAACATTTTTATGTTATGTACTTATTGATGCATCACTCCTGAATGATCCATATCAAACTGATGGGGGCCCAGGTGCTGAGCCCATGTCTCCCACAAGGCTCCTGCACAGGAAGAGTGGCTGGGTAGCACCCCCCGCCCGGCTGCCACGTTCCTGGCAGGGCTGAGCAGGACGGCACAGCACTACCAGGCATCACACAGCCCAGAGCTGCACCCCAGGGGTGGCAGGGACTGCCAGGAGACACGATGGGACCTGCTGCTCCAACATTTGGCCCCAGGTGCAACTCCAGTCTGAGCTTTCCCCTCTCTCTTACCAACTTGGTCATGTGGAATTGTTTTTCATCAGTCAACGATTTCACCAGCCACTGCATAATCTGGCACTTGCCTCTGACCCATGAGGTTGCCCAGGTGGCATCAGTACTGGCACCAGATCCAGCGAAAATGCCCTTTACTTTCCCCTTTGCCTCTACACTGAGACATGCAAACCGAGCACCTGTGAAGAGCATGACTGCAAAGTATTCACGATTTATGACTCATGTACAATAGCAGAATTTAAGCTGGCATTTCAAATATTAATTCGTTGTTTGACTGAACATATTAGCAGCTTTGGAATGACCAGGAAGAAGCACTAATTTGGAAAATTTCCTGAAGTTAACTTCAAGGCTATTAGTACCATTTAAGTGATAGGGAACTTTACACAGAACCAGCTTGCTCAGCTGGGGTCACAAACCATCTGCATCTCCTGGAAACCCTCTGCCAGATGTGCCCAGCAGAGAGTACGGCCGCGCTGCACCTCTGCTGCCAGGGCACCTGCTGCAGCCTCGCCTCTACTGCAGCCTTTCCGGGAGCAACAGGCAGAGAAATCTCAGCACACAGGAGTGGGTGGGAGCTCTGGCACAAATAATTTAACTCCTCTTCAGTCACCTACATCAGTTACCTGCAATGCAATTAAAACCATTTAAT